GAACCTGGGGGTTTTGGAAAATCCCTCCCAAGGGGATGGAGTGAGATCTTGTGCGGGGCAGGGCGTGGGCTAGCGCACGAGGGCGCAGGCAAGTGCCCGAGGGTATATGGGGGTGGGCGCCACCCTGGGGCTACCCGTAGCATCGTCGGCTCAGTGATATGGGGTCCCGTACCATGCGGAATCGACCCTATCCAGTGCTCAAGTGCTCAAGTATCCTCAGAGAGGGCGTCGGCGATCACGGCCAGCTCGTCGTGGCTCAGCTGTCCGACGGAGCTCGAGCACGAGCAGGCAGCGCGAGCGGACTCGTCTCTGCTGCTACCTGCTAGCCAGGCGCGTCGCCTGGCATATGTCCGCCGGGTTCTAACTACTCTGGTCGGCGGAGGTGTGAATTCCACAATGCTGCCGGGCGCGAGTCTTACACACACGTATTTTACAGGTTCAAGACTGACGTAGAGACACACGGCGGACGCCACATATCGCACTCCACAGGTGACAAGTCTAATACAGAGGAGGGAACCGGGTCCGAGAGACTGCATATCGTGCGCTACCGGACCGCGCCCGCGCGGTCCGCATTTGTGAGCGAGGAGAGAGTGCCAGGGCCGCCCTGGTATGGCAGCGTGTAAAGGGGCCCTTTGATCCAGGGGTGGTCGTAGTCGGTGCCTGAACGGCAGACCCGCCGCGGGGCGGCCCCGAGGTCACCGAGGCCGCGGCGTGGGGGAGGGGGGGGGGGGGCTGGCGCACCGTCAGAGGCGTGCCCAAGCAGGTCCTGCAGTTCGGGCGGCATCTCCTTTTGGATCTCGTTCGGGATGCCTGTTCACGGGCGAAGCGCGGTGATGGGCTGCCCCCCCCTCCCCCAAGCTGGACTGCGAGGCGGGCGGTGCGCCAAAATGGAAATTAATCAGGTTGTTGAGCCAGCCGAGGTAGTAGATGAAGATGAGCCTATGGGACGTGTCGTGGACACGTCGTGATGGCGCATTTTGAGCCAGCCCGAAGGCCTGCCTGAAGACGAGCCCGTCGCGCGGCGGCGCGCTGCCGTCGTGCTGCCCCGCGCCGTGCAGCGTCGAGCCGAGGTAGAAGAGGGCACTCCCCTCCGGCATCGCGCCCGGCACGATCTGAGTCCCCTCGGGCAGGCCGCCCCCCATGCTGCCAATCCCGGCGCCGCCGCCACCGCCGCCTTCGCTCGGCCGCTTGCCATCCGTCGGCGAGGGTGGCCACTTGTGCGAGCCTAAAGGGCCGTGCCGTGGACACGTCGTGGACAAGCGTCTCATCTCAAGGAGGGGGCGGCCCCCATGCGCGAGCCGGGGACGACGTTGGTGGCGCCGTTGGCGGCGGTGAACTCGTTGGCGGCCCACATGACTCCGACGAGGAACTCGGGCCGGAAGCCGTCCATGTAAGGCCAATCCGACGCGGCGAACTGGTAGTCGTCGCGGTGCAGCACCTGCCGGGAGGGTTCCGAGAAGGTTCGTGGAACGCGCAGCGCGGGAGGCGTCGCCAAGTCCCGATCTGTGGGCGGCCGTGGAGCGCGGACGCGCCTGTCTCGGCGCCTGGTACGTCTTGTCGGACTTGCCGGGTACCTTGACGATCCTGGTCGCGACGCCGAGCTTGAACCTTTTGGCGTACGGCGAGAGCACCTGCGTCAGCGACGGCACAAGGACAACCGACACCGTCAACGGAGGGTGAGCTGCCGCTGGGCGTGCGGCGACGGCGCCTTGTCGACGATCTGCATCGTCAGCTCGTGCGTCGCGAGCCGCTGCGCCACCTGAGAGGCCAACGCATCCGCGCCGCTACCTTCACCGTGGCCGACTGCACGCCTCGGCACGGTGCGGCTCTCGCCTTGCTCTTGCCCAGCACCACCGCCGCGTTCCGCTTGGTGTCCTCTCCCGACCACGAGCCGCGCGTGCCCGAGAAGATGTAGCCGGCGGAATCCATCTCCTCTCGCAACTTGGCGGTGGTTGCCTTGAGGGCCAGACGCATGGGCTTCTCTACGGCGGCTCTGTCGTGAGTGCGGGCTAGGGGAGTGGTCTATTCAAGCTCGCCGCGTCCGCGAGACCCGTCACGACGCAGTAGCCCTCTCTGAGCATCGCCGCGACAATCGCATCCGCGCCCGCCGTCGCAGGGAGCGTCACCGGCTTTGGGTGCTCGGGCGGCGGCGGCGGCGGCTGCGCCGGACCAATCCACGAAGTCGTCCCTCTGGGCGTCACGTTCACCTAGAGCCGACATGGGGGTGCGAGATTTGGCCGAGGCGACGCGGCGCACGCGTGCCGCCGCGAAGCAGTGCCGTGGCCAGAGGCTCTCCTCCGCTGTCGAGATGCTGCTCGGCACGCTCCGCGAGTAGCGATGCGAGCCGGCCCGGCAGGCCGAGCGCGATCAGGTCCGAGACGGAGAGGGCTCGCAGCGCGGAGACCGAGTCGACCCAGTGGTCGTGCACGAGGGAGTGGGCGAAGGCCGCCGTGTCGCGCCCGAGCGAAGCGCCTGCCCGCACCACCAGCTCCGCCACGGCCTCCGGCCCTCCGCCCCCTCCTCCGCCCCCGTCCCCTCCTCCTCCTCCTCCCCGCGGCGCCGCGGCGACGGGGCCGGCGACGAGCACCTTGCCGACGCTGCCGCCGGCGTGGAGCGCGGTGTGCGCTGCGCCGTACTCCTCCCACCCAAAGACGGTCTCCTCGGTCGTGAGCTTGCCGGCGAGGACGAGGTCGGCGAGCCTGCTCCGGCAAGAGAGTGGCGGTAGGGGCAGAGGAGGCAGGACGAGGGTGCGGGTGCGGGTGCGGCTCGCCGGCGGCGCGCGTCCGCAAAGTCGGGCACGTAGTTCGCGACGCCAAAGCCCGAGATGCGAAGGGCGCGGTCGGTGATGGCGTGCGCGTTGGCGAGGCCGCCGCGCGACGAGGAGGAGAACTCGGAGACGGCGCCGACGTTGAGGACGGTGCCGAACTTGCTCATGTGTAGCAGCGCCTCGTCGAGCGTGCGCCCGCCGACGCCTGGCCGCGGCGGCAGAGGCGGTGACCCGGGCGGCGGGCGGCGGGCGGCGGGCGGCGGGCGGCGGCGGGGCGAGAGAGCGGGGGAGGGGCGTCGGTGGAGCCGCGCTCTGGCGCGGCGCGGGGGAAGGGGCGGCCGCCGTCGAAGAAGACGTCGACTCCCTCGGGGGCGAGGGCGGCGAGCGCGTCGCCGACGGCCTGGCGGCGGTAGTTGAACGCCTCGACGCCGTACTTGGACCGCAGCAGTCGCACCTGCCGACAGGACGACCCGCCCCTCTCCCTCTCCTCCCTCTCCCTCGGTCGGCGCCCTGCAGCGCGGCCGCCGCGCCTTCTCGTCCGTCCCAGCCGAGCCGATGACGCGCGTCGCGTTGCGCAGCTGGAAGAGCTGCGCCGCCAGCAGCCCGACCCCGCCCGCCGCGGCCGACACATACACCACGCCCGGCCCCTCTGGCCGGGGCGGCAGCAGCTTCTCGATGGCGAGCAGCGCTAGGCAGCGGGGGGAGGGCGGAGAGGGGGCTGCGTCAGGTCGGAGGGCGGATCTCGGAGCCGCCTCACGGAGGCGCGTGTCTTCACCCGTGAGCCCCGTCGTGGTGCCGAGGACAGACAGCTCGAGCGACGGGTCGACGCTGCCGAGCGCCTTGCGCAGCCGCGCCGCCGCCGGGTCGAGGACCTGCACCGCCCGGATCGCCGACGCGCCCACTCCCAGCTCGCCCGCCGCCCAGTCGGGGTGGCGCGACGCGAGGCAGCGCAGCACGGCGCCAAACGTGAACATCGCGTCGCCGGGCCGCTTCTGCAGCTTGGAGAAGAAGCCCCAGCCCTGCGCCGAGCCGCCGCCGTCGGTCCAGATCCGCGTCGCCGCGTCCACCGACGCGTACTCCAGCGCGAAGAGCGCCTCGCCCTGCTTGAGCGCCGCGGCGTCGAGCGGCGGCGACGGAGCGAGCGCAAAGTCGGTCGGTGCAAAGGGGCGGCCGTCGGGCAGGACGGCGATCCGCCACTCGGTGGTCGCGGAGGAGCCGGAGGCGAGAAGGAGGAGGGCGAGCCGCGGCGGCGGGCGTCGCATTCTGCGGGTGGAGATGTGTGTCCGGTCGCCTGAAGCGAGTGCCTGTCAGAGCCTTGAGTCGGAGGGGGAACTAGGGGGGTGTATAGCTGACTTGGCCGGCGAAAAAAAGTAATGTAGACGTCTCCCCGTATCTCCCCCTATCTCCCCGCATCTCCCCGCATCTCCCCGTATCTCCCCGTACATCGCGCCGCGGATACCGCGAAAAATTTCGGCGAGACCAGTGGAAAGAAAGAAAGAAAGAAGACGGACGCCCCAAGGGAGGGTCGGAGGGAGGGTGGGAGGGATCAATGTGTGTCAGGGAACTTTCTTTCTTTCTCCCAGGGCACACTACACCACCGCCTGCGAAGCCCCCGCGAGGACGATCCACGCGTCCTGATGCCAGCCACGCTTCCTCGCCAGCAGGCGAGCGGCGCGTTGGGACTCCACGCTCGCATCCCGCTCCGGGCCGTGATCCCGCGTGTTGCAGCGACGCAGCAGGTCGGCTGCGATTGCCCGTACCACATCGCCCCGCACGCCGCCCCCTCCTCCTCCCCCACCCTCGCCACCGTTGCCGCCCACCGCTTCCACCACAACCGCTCTCGCGCCAGCCGAGGAGATACGCCGGCTGATGGGGGGCGCGGCGCGTGTGGCTGCAAGGCAGAGCCTATCGAGCAGCTCGCCGGTCTTGGGCGCACCCACCTGTTTAGAGGCCCAGATCATGAAAAGAGTCCTCACGCTGTGATCAGAAATATGTCTCAGACGCACCATTCGGGCGATGCTGCGCGGCGGCGGGGCGGGCCGAGTCGGCTGCAGCGCAGGTGCGGCGGCGCTCGCCCGGCAGCGGCCGGGAGCCTTTCGGCAGTCGCGCAGCGGCTCTGCAGAGTCGACGTGATGCCTGAGCCGCAGCTAGGTGTGAGGGGGTGCTCTGGAGTCTGATGGGGATGGTATCGGGCAGGGCGCCAAACGCAGTGCCCTTGCCTGAGCCCGGCTCGGTCACCATGCTTCTGACGCGAGACGGAGCTGGCGTCGACCGACAGCATCTCGTAGCCATATGAGCGCAGGAACTCGGCGAGCCTGCCGAGGCACTGGCGAGATAAGGAGATGTGTAGGTGCTGTGTGCGGCGTCGAAGGGCGGTGGGGAGGCGGGCGCACCGGAGGAAGCGGAGGCTGGTCAGGTGGGTGGACTCGAAGACGACGCGGGCAGGGCGCACGAGGGCAAAAGGGAACTGGTATAAGGCCGCGTCGTCGTGTCCCTCCGCATCGACCGCCTCACATGCCACGCGATTGTTCTGAGCATGACTCGCTCGAACGCACCCATGCCCCCTCTCATTGATCTCCCGGCTAGCCCTCACCAAAAGCGAGAGCGCCGCAGCGCCACCTCTCTGCGCGTGCCGCAGCTGCGGCACCAACTCGGTCTCGGCGCAGTAGCATCGCACCGGAAATGTCACTAGGTTATTGGCGATCACCTGCAAGGCGTGACACGATAGAGTGAGAGAACTAGGAGATCCACGCATGTCCCCTTCGCCCTCATCCAACCGCCTGGCGCATGCAGTTGTTTGGCAGCGGCCGGCCGAGTACCTTTGAGCACTGAGCACACTGGTTTGGCCCCACGGCAAAGTAGCGATTGTGGCGGAGCAGGTGCGACCTGACGGTGCGTCAGCAGAAGGGGGTCGAGATGAATGAGCTTGGGTCTGGTCGCGGTTTGCACAGGGTGCGCTGCACTTGGAGAGAGAGGCGATCTCAGAGACAAAGTGAGAGCCATTTCCACCGGGCGTGTTGGCGGTGAGACAGCGGGCGTCCGAGTCGTTGCTCCCCCAGTTGCCCGTGGCGTTGCTCATGTCAACCGACCACATTTTAAGCGGCGCGGCGGCGCACTGGTCGCACACGGCCGCGTTTACAAGTTCCACGTTGGGCGGCTGTGGCGTATAGGTCCTCTGCAATTGCTTGAAGATGTCTGGTATAGGCTCGAGGAGAGTTGACTTCCAGCCATGGTGCACAGCGAGAGGGCCTGGCTCTGTGTTGATGTACGATGTGGACTCGTGCTTGTTGGCGCCGATCTGGAAGAGCGATGATGCCGCCGGGTCGAGAGCCGCCATCCAGGGAGACATTGCAAAGGCTCGGTGGCCCTTGAGTTTCTTCTTTCGCGAGACGGCCTCGGCGAGCCAGGCCGTCTCCACCCGTTGCTGCTCGGTGGTATTGTACGGCCAAAGCAGCATCGAATCGCACGAGCTCGTTGAGGCCGCCTCTGCTTGCCGACGCCGCATAGAGACGAGGTCGCCAAGAGTTTTGGGCGCCCTTCTGGAGGAGCTCTCTACCTCCTGCAGCCGCCGGTGATGGCTCCGCCGCCGGAGCATTGCCTCCCAAATGCGGCACCGCAGGCCACAGGGTTGGCGTGCTGTTGCCGTCACCACCGCTGCGGTCAACAACAACATACCTGGTACCCGCCCGCGAACGAAGAACGTTAACTTTCCGTTTTTTTTCAGTAGTAGTAGTACTTTTAGCTTACTGGGAGAAAAGGGAGAGGGGGGGTCTCTCTCTCTCTCAGTGATTTAGCTCTTGCTTGTCTGTCCTTTCACACCGGAAAAAAGAAAGAAAACAGACACGCCAAACGAGGGATGGGACGAGGAGTCGAGGACAGGGTCCCCACCTGCACGAGCAGGATTTTGGAAGGACGATCAGGGGGACAGGTGGGGCTCTCCTGCTCCTGACAAGGGACACGACAGGCTCGCAGCGCGGTGCGCGGTGGACTCCCACATCCACTGGCGGTCTCATCTCAGTCTAGCGACCACACCGGGTCCAATCGTTTAGCTCTCTTCTTTTTCTTTTTCTTTTTTACGTTCGGCAACACCGCTGGCGTGAAGAGCAACGGCGCAACGTGTGCAGACGCGACGAGCAGCAATGGTGGGGCGAGCTGAGATGGCGCGATGAGCGTTGGCCCGCTGAGCGATGGCACGAGGCCGCCTGCTCACGCGTCATCAGCGACTCGCTCGCCCAGGTTCCATCGCGAGCATCAAGCACCGCGTCCAGCTTCACCAATGGCAGCTCTGGCTCTCTCTTGAGCGAGGAGCAGACAGGCTGCAGCATCTCCTTTCCGTCTCACAGCGCCAGCTTTGTCGCGACGCTACGATGGCGACCCTAGCTCAGCCGTCAGGCTTGCAGCGCTCCATCGCGGCTGCCCTCGCCACCCTCCAGCTTGGCTTCGAAGAGGAGTATCTTGAGCCGCGCACTGGCTACTCGCTCGACCTGGCGCTGCCCTCGTCACGCGTCGGCGTTGAGGTGGACGATGGCCCCTCTCTCACTTCCAGTCCTCCTGCCCGACGACCGGGGCGTGCGCAAGCCCAAGGGGCAAACGCTGCTCAAGCGGCGCCTCCTCGCGGTGGCTGGCTGGAGGGTGATCAGCGTTCCTTTCTCGCTCATAGTTAGCGGGTAGAAATAAATAAAAGGTGAAGGCAGATTCTGATCGAGATGGGATGCATGTGCATGCACATGTGCGACCGCATGCATACATGTACATGTACATGTTGTGTCCCCGCCCTGCGCGAATCGATATCTTGGTGTGAGCGGGGATCAACGGGTGGAGACTGGAGTTAGCCGCCATAAGTTAGGCGGACAGGCGCGGAACCGCAACGGGTCGCGCGCCTCTCTCTCGAAAGAGGGGGGCACACAGGTAATCGTAAAAATAGAGGTGACTAGAACGGTCGACACGCACACGCCGTTCGCCGTACCTATACCTTTTCATTTCCCTGAACTCTTTCTGAGCATCGGGACGATCCTACGAGCGCTCCAATCAAAATTCACGCCACAGTGCGAGCACTTGCGTTAACCTTTAGTTAGGTGAATGGCACGGGGCTTTTCTCGTAGCTGTGGGAGAGTGGGTGACGAACGAAGACGCGGACGGCGATCGCTGCGCCGACCGCGGCCGCCATCAGCGCGATCACCGCGGCGACCGCCACCGAGATGCCCTCGCGACCGCGCGCCTCGGCCTGCGCGGCGCTCAGCAGGGCGGCGCGGCGGCGCAGCTGAACGGCGCCATAGTTGAGCTCGGCTTGCGCGGGGCCGAGCTTGTGCCGGTGGCTCGCGAAGTATTGCACCAGCTCCTCCGCCATCAGCGTCTTGCCGCAGGCCGCCTGGGCAGGGAGGGAGGCACTGGTGAGGAGGGGCACGGCTGCCGCAACTCGGCGCTGCCATCGGCTGCAAAAAATGGGCGACGGCTCCATCTCGGCGGCCGCCCCGCCTGCATCGTGTCCATCGCCTTTTGGTGCACCGGCGAGCCCGTTGCGATGGCGTCGGTGACGAGGACGACGTCGAGACCATAGCGGTCTGCCGCCTCGTAGCAGGTCGCGATGACGCAGTCTTCGGTCCACGCGCCGACGATAACGATAGTGTCGACGCCCCACGCCTGCAGCATCGGGTAGAGGATGTCGTCTCCGTGCTCGTCCTTGTCGGCCATCTTGGAGAGGTGCCTGCGGCGGGGAGGGCGGCATGGTCGGAGGGAAGGAGGGACGGCCAAACTCCTTTCGCAGACACTTCGTGGAGAGTGCCGTCCGCTGCGTGAGTCGCAACATGCCAGCGGTCGGGTCTGCGCCAAATGGACCGGTCTCGGCTGATCTCGGCTGATCTCGGCTCATCTCACATCGACTTGATGACGAGCGACTTCTCGTCCTCCGTGATCGGTCCCATCGCTGGCACCTAACACGCCAGCCCTCGGCTCCGGCCGCGCTGCTCTTGTGCGTGTACGGACCACCCTCCGCCGCGCAGCCCGCCGTGTCGGTCGCGTTCTTGCCGTACCTCGTGTCGATCCACATCGGGTTCTCGGCGTGCCCTTTGACGGTGCCTCCCGGCGGGTACAGGCCGCGAGGGCCCCAGAAGCGGTCGATGGCTCCTGCGGGCGCGTCGTGGACGCGTGAGGGACGCGCCCTCGGAACCACGGAGGCGGTGTGCCGAGCACACGCACCGTACGCGCCGTCATCCTCCTGCCGGTACCAGTTGGTCCACACGACCGGCTGCTGCGCCTTGCGGAAGGCGGCGAGCACCGCCTCGGCGTTCGGCATCATAAAAGTCATATACCTGCAGGGCAGGCGGAGGGAGCTCAGCTGGCAGCGGCGCTGCGCGGCTGTGTGCGAGGCTCCGCAGAGGGTAAAGCGAGTGAGACGAGCGAAGGTGCGGGCGTCAGTGCGGGCTGCGCACGGGAGGTAGTCATTCTCCATGTCCAGCACGAGGAGGCAGAAGGTTCGGGTCTGGTCCGCCAGAGCCCAGTCGGCCGAGACTTCCATCAGCGGCTCGAACGGAGGCTTGCCTATAGAGAGAGAGAGCTGCGCTGTCAGATCCTTGATGCGGCAGAGCAGCGGTCCGTGACAATGGCACGCCGTCGATCCAGGTCGGGACTTCGCCTTCGTTCTTCTTGTATTTGGCGTTCTTCATCGACGTATTGCCGAGCCGCAGTCGCTTTGGGCCAAAGCCCTCGCCCTTGGAAGCGAAGACGTCCTTGAGGCCGACGTCGTTGGCCGCGCTGGCGAAGATCTGGGCGGGATAGGCCGGCAGGAGCGCGAGCATGAGGGGGGTACGGCTTTTCCCCAGGATTTTTTCTTTCTTTCTTTCGTACGACCTCACCGTACGTACGACCCGGACGGAGAGACGTTCGCTCACTCCCGCTTGGCGCCTCAACGATTTTTTTGAGACTGCTACGCCTCTCGCCGGGTGCGGGATTCGGTACTTCAGCTTGGTATATTATCATCGTATGCCAGATCATACCCCTCTTGAGAGGACCCGCATTGGGCCCCTAGAGGATAGGCTGATACCCTCGTGGGTTACCCTTCACACCGGACACGACCCCCCTCTTCACACCTCTTCGCGCGCTGCGCGCGCGCCAAGTCAGACAACGCGCTCGAGTGAGCGTCGCGCAGGAGGGAGGCGAGCGCACCACTAAGCAATGCGCTGGGCGAGGAGGGCGCTAATGGCGGCCGTCGTCGCATTTGACGGGCCCGCGGCCGCAGCCGGAGGGTGCGGCTGCAGCCGCGGGAGGGGCCGCGGCCTGCACGGCTGCGGCCGGGGCCGGCGCCGCGGGGGGCGCGCTGTTAGGCGCCGTGGCGGGCTCCGCTGCGGACTCGGTGTCCCCCGCCGCCGCCGTGACACGCTGCAGGGTGATATGCACACATGCGGGCGCTGCCCAGGAAATCGTTCTCGAAGTCAACATGGCACCGGCAACATCCGGTGAATTTCCGAAACAGCTGGCTTTGCCGAAACGAGGAGGCGTGCATTGCGCGCGCAACAGCTGGTGGGCGTGGCGCGCGGGTACGGCGGAAGCGCAAAGAGTTTGAATGATACCGGGGCGCACCATGCATGCGGGAGGGCTCGGTCCTCGGTGAGAGGTGTGAATTGTCGCTTCGCTGCGCGGCCGCCGATGATACCTTGATACCCAGCCGAGATGGGTCCCCACAGAGGCCTAGAGCATACCTTGATACCCCCTCGAGAAGCATACGATGATACTATACCAAGCTGAAGTACCGAATCCCGGTCGCGAGAGACCTCGAGAGATGTCGCGCGAAGTCCGCCATTTTGGTTGGGTTTACCCCATGCCATGTGTGTGGAGTGCCATGCATCAGTGTGCCATGTGAGTGTTAGGATAGCTTGTAGGCGTAAGTAAGTTTTATCTTTCAGCAGATGTCAATCGAGTTTGAGACCGGTCCATGGGTACGCAAGTACAGAAAAACGGAGGGGCGTGTCGTCGCCCGCGAGAGGTCGTCGCCCGACGCGCGACGGCATCGGGCCGAGGCTGGGGCGGGTCGACTCTGAGCCCCAGGGGTATTAAACGAGAACATCCTGAAGGCATTGATCACGCACCGTGCCGGTGGGCCAAAGGGGTCTGGAAAAGAAAAACTTGGCCGTAACAGAATGGCGAGAACATGGACACACGGCGCGAGACGCGGTGTGGCCGTTTTTGCTGAGATCGATCGATGGTGCAGGACTGCAACTGCCGCACGCCTATCCGGTCGTACGATGAGCTCTGCGAGAAGACACCGCCCCACCCGCTTGACACCGACCAAGAGCACCACGACAAAGTGTTTGACGCTCTCTTTGAGGCCACGGGCATGAATGCGAAGGAGGACATCGATAGCATACTCAAGGCATATGCGACCGATCCATGCCGTCGCCAGAAGATCATCGCGCACCTCAAGACGGTCTACCGCCTCGGCGAAGATGCGAGCGAACGCTTGCTTGGCCTGAAATCAAAGATGGACGCAATGCCGGTCGTGGATGAGGATCAGTGCCTTACGTTGGCGCTCTTCAACTTCAAGGGCGGCGTTGGCAAGACAACGATGACGACCAATGTGGCGGCAGCCTTGGCGCAGATGGGCTTCCGCGTGGGAGTCGTTGACGCCGACGTGCAAGGCAACACGACAGGCTATTTTTGCGGTGCGCCGGAGGACGGCGGAGGAGGATCAGATGACGTGCCGAGCCCTGAGGACGCGCATATCAACGCCAGCCTTAATCACGACCTCCCGGAGGACATCCCAAGCCCCGACCTCGACACGGCGCTCGAGTCGGACATTCCCATGCTGCACGAAAAGCTCGAGGTTGTGAAGCAGAACCAGCAGGCCGGGTTTGAGGATGCGCACCCTGACTACCGCGACGAATTCTACAAGATGAAGCCCATCTCCCACCTGCCGGGGGTGAACCTGAAGCTCCTCGGCGGCGGGCCGGAGCTGGCGCAGATCGACGAGGACTTCTCGCCGAAACTGTCGCGCCGATACCATCTGAAATCAAATGAGGGGATGCTAGTTGGCTCCTTCCGTATGCTTCTCAAGCGGCTCGCGAAGAACAACGGGCTTCAGGTCATCCTCGTCGACGTTGGGCCGTCGTCATCGTTGTTTAACGCGTGGCTAGTCACAAGCTGTGATTACATCCTCCCTCCCGCGTTTGCCGACAAGTTCTCCGCCCTTTCCATTCGCGACTTTGTGCACAGTGTCATCCCTAGCTTTCGCGACAAGCAGGCCTACTGGCTCCGTTCGATGTGGCTGGATGACAAGGAGGCAATAAAGAAGAACTCAGAGTACCTTTTCAATCCCCTCACCGTGGTCTTCCCCTTTATGCTCGGCAAATTTGCAGTCAACAACAACGGCGGCAGTACCAAGGTCGTCAAAGCAAGCGCCACATGGGTTAATGCCATCCGGCAGACACTCAACAAGGCGGCCGAAGAGAAGCTCAAGGTCAAAGAACGCGACAGTCTGATGAATGGGACGCTGCTCCTGCAGGACTATCTGATGCATAACAAGCAGTATTACTGCACCTTTCTAAAGGAGCTCCAGTCGGAGGTGCCCATCGCGCAAAAAACGCGCATCCCGCTTGTTTGCCTTCGGGTGGCCCATTTCAAGGGCTTGGGCCAGGCACCTCAGCGAATCGACTACATCCAAGGCCGCTATCGGACACTATCGAAGTTCTTGCTCGAGACGTGGACGAAGTCAGGTGCGCGCTTTCCCGCTGTCGCAGATACCGGCTTGGAGCTTGCACCCCCCTCCGACAAGAAGCAGAAGATCACTGCAGATAACAGCGTTGCATTCGACGAGAACGGTGATGATCTGAAAAAGGAGCCCGAAAAATTCAAAACCTTGCTGCTTGGACTGGTAAACCGGGCCCGTGAAGTAGCGACGGAGCTCAAGCTGACGCAGCACGGGGACATGAGTGAGGACACTCTGACTGAACAGATGGTCCACGGGAAGCAAGTGCTCTCTACGCTGCTGCACGAGGCCGGCTTTCCTGATGCGGTTGTCCACCACCAGTACACGCTTTCAGAGGGCCGCCCAGACATCGTGCTCGTCAATGTCAAATTCGAGGGCCACGAGTGCCACGACTCAGAGGGCAACCTCCCCATCGTGGTCGAAATCAAGAAAGAGACACACGCAGAGTTCAACAGATCCAGCACGCTGTCTGCGCATCAACAACAGGTAAAAAAATATCGTGACCCCCGATTGGGCAATCTGGCGAGGCCTTCGCCTTATGCAGTGCTCCTCAACTTTGAAAAGAACTCATGGGGGGTGCAGCTGCTGTGGGCCAAGTTTGATGACCAATACCGTGCACTGAGGTGGCACTAGAGAGCCGTAACCGTTACGCAGTACGTCAGTATTACTCTATCTCTAACAAAAGCTCAAAAAGGTCCAAAGCTCGAAGGTGTTAAATTGTTCGTATATCGTAAGAGAAGTGTACGTGAAAAGGGGAAGATCCCCCTCTCTCAGCCTCCATCTCTCGTCAGAGTTCACCGTTTGACTGCTTTACTTTACGACTCGAACGGGCAGCGCGTGCGCGCAATTCTCGCCGTCGCCCAAGCGGTAGTTCGCCCCCTCTCCCCAGCCCCAGACGCTACCGTCAGCCGCCAGCGCGAGGCTGTGCAAGGCGCCCGCCGACACGGCAACGACGCCCCGCCCCGCGAGCGCCTCGACTCTCTCCGGCAAAAGCTGGCTGGAGAGCGTGCCTGTGCGCGGCGAGTTGCTGGCGGTCGGAGGGTCAAGGAAGGAAGACGTTGTATGGAGGGAGGGGGCGGGGAGTGAGCGGTGCGGGGAGGGAGGGAGGGGCGGCGGTGTGCACCATGCACACTGGCGAGCACCGAGTGCCGCGTGAAGGCGGCCGCGCGCCCGATGCGCCCTAGCGGCCCTGTGCCCCAGCTGTAGACGGCGCCGTCGACCGTGAGGGCGAGGCTGTGGCCTCCCCCCGCCGACACGGCGACGACGCGCCGCCCCTCCAAGGCCTCGATCTTGGAAGGCAGGAGCCGCGACTCCATACCTCCGTGGCCTAGCTGGCCGGCAACAGCGTCGCCCCAGCTCCAGACGGCGCCATCGGCGGTGATGGCGAGAGCATGCCCGTACCCCGCCGACACCGCGATGACCAGCTGACCGGCCAAGCCCTCCACCCTCTTCGGCAGAGCCAGGGCGGTGACGGGGCCGTGCCCGAGCTGCCCACTCGTCCCCAAGCCCCAGCTCCGACGGCGCCGTCCGCCGTCAGGGCGAGCGAGAAGCCGCTCTGCCCGGCCGACACGGCGACGACCCGCTCTCCAGCCGAGCATTCAGACGCGTTGCATGCGCCATGCCTCGCGCCAGCGCGTGCGGGAGCTCCTGGCTGAGCGTTGAGTCCAGGCGAGTTGCGCTGGCCACTATCGCTACGCCGAGCCGAGCTGACGCGCCGAGGCGCCGGCCAGTCGCAGCCGTGAGGCATGCCACAGCAGCAGAGGCAACTGCCACCCATTGGGCGGGCAGACAGAAGGCCAACCCACCTCGCTCGAGACCATACCCCCCCCGCCTCTTGGAAAACCTGCTTGGGGTATGGTAGGGCTAGCCTTGGGCGGTCAGGTCCACCCCCCCCCCCCCCCCCCCCCTCAGGTCGATGGCCACGCCGTCCTGCTCCATCGTCGTGACGGGGTTCGGCCCGTTCGCCGACGTCGAAGAGAACCCAACCGACTGGCTCGCGAGAGAGCTCGCCAGCGGCGCCGACGGCTGGCGGCTTCCGCACGGCGTCCCGCTCCGCTCAGCAGTGCTTGAGGTTTCGACCGTTGATGTCGACGCGCAGCTGCAGCGGCTGCACAGCGGCGACGACTCCTCCGGCTGCGTCATCTACGTGCACCTTGGCGTCGACGCGAGAGGGCGCGGCTTTGCACTCGAGCGCACCGGCGTCAACAACATGACATTTCGTGTGGCGGACGAGCGAGGCCGCCAGCCGACGGACGAGCCCATCGACGCCGCGCCGGCCGCGCGTGGCGTGCGGGGCTGCCGCCGCAGCCCTCTGCCCCTCTCCTCTCTGCGGGATGCGTTGGCTGCGAGGTCGGCCGAGGAGATCCGAGTCTCGGACGACGCAGGCCGGTGCGTTGGCGCTAGGGCCCGCAACCTATCCACGAGCCCGCCGCTGTGGGTGCGCCGAGAAGCAGATTGTCTGCCCACCCTCGCCGGCCGGCACCGCGCTGCCGCTGGGATGGCCAGACGCCGAAGACGCCCTTGGCCTGACCCGCAGGTACCTGTGCAACTACACGCTGTACGAGTCGCTGCGGCTCTCGCACGCGCACAACAACAGCTCGGGCGCGCAGAGCACGCAGAGTCGGCACACCGCCCTGTTTGTCCACGTGCCTCCCTTCGAGGCAGTGCCGCGCCGCCGCCAGCTGGCGCTGCTGCAGCACCTGCTCGCCGAGCTGGCGGACGAGGCGCACCGCGGCGGCGGCGCGGCGATGCTGCCCGCGTGCGGCGGGGCTGTGGAAGAGCTGAGCGAGGGCGAGATGCTTCGCGCCGCGGCGGCGGCGGCTGCGCGCGGCGGCGGCGTGGCGGGGACGGCGGGCTCGCTGGGCGAAGACGACGAGGCGCGTTTGGACCAGGGCAGAGGCGAGGGCGGCGAGGGCGGCGCGGCTGCGGTGGGCTGTGCGGCGGTGCGGCGGTGCGGCGGCGTGGTCCCGATCGGGGAGGCGGAGGAGGGCACCGTGGCGGTGGGCGAGGTGGAGGGAGTCGAAGTCCGGCTGTGGTACCGCACGTGGGGCAGCCGCGCCGCTGGCACCCCCGTGCTGTTTGTGCACGGAGGGCCCGGCAATTGCGTCGCCGACTATGCAGACATCAACGGCGAGTTTTTCGACGCGGCGCGCTTCTTTGTGGTGGAGGTGGACCAGCGAGGCACGGGCAGGTCGACGCCGTCGGTGCGCGAGTCGGCGGCGCACATGCGCATCTACGGCGAGATCAACATCTCGCTGATGAGCGCCGACTTCGAGGCGGTGAGGGAGGCGCGGGTCTGGAGGTGCAGCCGCTGGCTGACGGCTCGAGCTAACGTCGACTGATGAGGGAGCAGGCGCTCGGTCTCGAGCGGTGGCTGGTGTTTGGCGGCAGCTGGGGCTCCACGCTGGCGCTGCAGTACGCCCTCGACTTCCCGCAGCGCTGCCTCGCCCTCATCCTTCGCGGCGTCTTCCTCAGGCGCGCACGCGACGCCGAGATGAGCGAGTGTCTCCCCTGCACCGCCACAGCCTGCCGGCCCTCGACCCCCCTCTTCGCCACAGCTTGCCGGCCGAGATCGACGCCGTCTACTCGCGGGCGCCGTATGCAGCCGCCGCCGAGGCCGAGGGCGAGGAGGCGGGCGCGCGCCGCCGGCTTCGAGAATTTGACGCCTTTGCCGCGACGGTGGGCGAGAGCGGCCACGACGCTCGCTCGCTGCTGGGCGAGTACGATCGGCGCATCCGCGCGGGCGACGCGGCGGCCACCTGGCACTGGCACGCTCGCACGCAGGTGGGCTGGCGCAGCGCGGTGTGAGCGCGTCTCTTCACACGCGTGGCTGTGAACAGGCACGCGTTCGAGTGCAACCTGATGGCGGAGTGCGAGTCGGAGCGGCGCGACGTGGACACGGCCGTGGCGGACGAGTACGCCGAGGCGCTCTAGGAATGGCTCGATGCGCCGTCCACTCTCCGTGCCCGTGAGGCCGTGTGCTGCAAACAGGCGCGCAGCGTCGCCTTCTTCGAGGCGCGCCTCTTCCTGCGAGGTGCGTACGAGGCGCCGTGCAGGCTGCTCGAGCGGCTCTCGGGCGAGGCCGCGGCGGCGATGGCGCGGATGGACACTTGGGTGGTGCAGGGCACGGGCGACGCTGTCTGCCCAGAGGAGTTTGCGCGCGAGCTTGTGGCGCAGATGCGAGCGATCCGCGACGCACTAGAGCCGTCAGAGGACGGCGCGAAGGGTGCGGGGCTGCTCAGCACGCACTTCGTGGACGCGGGCCACAAGGCGGGCGCCGCGGGCATCAAGGAGAAGCTCATCGAGTGCGTGCACGACTATCTGGACCGGGCGGGCGGCGGCAGCTGAACGCATTTCTAACCGTATGTGTCGTGCTGGGGCATGTTTGATGTTATTGAAGTGATGGATTCTGCTGTCTGGGTGTGAGTGTCGCGCACCGACCACCGTGGTGTCTGGTGTCGCTCCCACCGGACAGCGGACTCCGGTTCATTTAACCCGTGTATCTAGATTGAGAATTTTCACAATTACATGGCATGCGAGACATGCGCGTGGGGCATGTACGTAAGACAGTATGTACTGCTTGGCAAGCTGCCTCAGGGTCTCGGCAATTAGGCGTGCGCTCTTGCCTCTTTTCAAGTTGAACGGCTCTTTACCTTCCGTGCTCTGACGGTTGGCCGCCGCCCGGGCGTTCAACGCGCTTGCGAGCAATCGTCTCCCTGACGAGACGGGCCAGCTCCGGCTTTGAGTTGCTGCCTTCGTAGTCGACAGCGTTCTCCTCACATAGGTGGATGAATGCCTGCCTCCCCAGGCCGTTGAAAGTCTGCCACTTGAGTCTGCTGTCAGCGTCAAGGTGCGGCTCGCACCGGTCTATGCATGCACGCCTGAGCTCGTAGGATATGTGACGCTCGCTGGCGTTTGAACCGGCGCGGGCATTTAACGACTCTATGTCCGCCGCGGAGAGTAGCTTCGAGGCTGTACGTCGCTGGCAGCTTCGTCTCACCCGTGGCCTTATTGCGTAGCGCTGGGCGACGATCCCAGTCGCCGCGGGCGAGGAGCGTCTCGGTCAGGCGTGTGTAGACAGAGCCAAGCTTACCGTCCGCGTTCTCGTCAAACGGCAAAAATTGCACGCGCTTTGCATTGAAGTTTAGTGCAGCCACGATCCGTGCTCCGGTGCGCGAAGGCGGCAAGGAGCCACTCGGTGCCGTCTTGGCAAGGTCCTTGTCCGAATCGCGCGGCGGGAGTGGAGCGTCCTCGTCCGAATCGCGCGGCAGGAGTGGAACGTCCTCGCGCGGCGGGAGTGGAACGTCCTCGTCGCAGGCCCTGCGTTGTGCGATGGCGGCAGCGACGGGCCCGTATCGAAGAGTCGTTTGACGTTTCGCTCGCGGGGTTTCTTTTTCAGTGTATGTCCTGATCTACCCCTGATGGAATTTTTCAGAAAAGAGCTAACAGCAGTGCGGGCTGCGCGGCGACGCGAGTGAAATATGACACAGTGCGTCCAGGAGAGTACAGCCCGGCGTCAGGCCGTTCGCGTCATCAGATTAGGATGTGGGCGACGTCGGGTGCCTCGCCGGCCGCCACGCTCGGCGCGCCGCCGCAGAAGCCGACCCAGTTGCCGAGGCAGCCTCGGTCGTGCGGGTTGGCGCGCGCGGTGTAGGCCTTCTTGAAGGCGTACTCGTAGCTCGTCTGGTTGACCGAGATGAGAAAGAGGTGGTACGCCGAGAAGCAGGCGAGCACGGCGCCCATGGGGGCGGTGTAGAGGAGCAGCAGTGCAGGCGCGAGGGCGTGGGTGGCCGAGGCGAGCCGCCACGGCTGCGCCCTCCCCAGCAGCTCGAGCGCCGCGCACCACGTCAGCAGCGCCGCGTGTGCCGTGGCGGCGAGGATAAAGCACACGAATACGCGGTGGTTGCCGCTGCCGACCGCGTTGCCGATGTAGACGCAGTAGTGGTCCCAGCGGTCGACGCAGGCGCGCATGTGCCTGCAGTGGTGCGTGCGGGGCCGCCGCTGCACGCAGCACGCGGTGCAGTAGCTGGCAGGCGCCGCCGAGGGGGCCTCCTCGGGCGCCGCCATTTCGCGGGACACAACGCCGGGGTTGGTGCTGGCGGCGAGGTATAGGGTGGAGAGGGTGAACAGCAGCGATAGTGTGGCCGCCACGAGCGGCGCGTCGAGGCGGAGCAGCCCTCCTCGGATCGAGGAGGCGGCGGCGGTCGGTGCGAGGATCAGCAGGCCCGCGGTCACGGCGACAGTCGAGGCGGAGCAATACGTGACCTCGTTATCGCGCGACCGCAAGGTGAAGCGCGACGGCACGGCCACGGAGAGAATCAGCACGGGCATCGGGGCGGATGGACAGGCCTGGAGGCCTCTACTGGTGGAGGAACTCTGGGGGTGATCACAGGCCTCAAAAAGCCAAACATCACGCCAGAGGGTTCCCACTCTTCTGTTGGGTAGGGTATAGTTGATTTTGCCCAGGATCGCGCTGCGGCTACATGGGCTGCATTCTCCTGCAGCCTCACTTCGGTCTCCATCAGTTTCCCGAACTTCCGCCGGGCAGGAGGCCGACCGACCCGCAAGCCCGACATGTCTCTGACATGCACCAAAGGTCAACACTCTCTCCAAAGGTCAAAGCACTGTGGCATCAGGGCAGCCTCAAGGAGCAGACCAGCGCCATCGTCGCTGCCTGCTCCGCGGCGTAAGCACTCTAGTCTTCCATCCCGTCCCGGGCACCCGCCAGTGTACAGCCGTAGGACCGTGACCGCACGCATGCTCTCGTGTGTGTATGTAGGGGTCCCGTACTCGAGTACCATGCGGAATCGACCCTATCCAGTGCTCAAGTGCTCAAGTGCTCTCGTGTCGTCTCTCCGGTGTTCAAAGATCCCGAATCGTTCTAAAAGAAAGAAAGAAAACAGACAACCCAAGGGAGGGATGGGAGGACGGCACGCCGCCACCACACAGGGATTTTAAGGAGAGGAGTGTGGGAGAGAGAGATTTTTAGCAATACCAAACAACTCTAACACTCACACGTAATTTGGGGCCTGGAGCCCTGTTCACGCGCGCGCGAGACGTGCAGACAGGGTTGCCAGGTGAGAGCGAATGGCGCGGTTCACGCCTCGCACAACAGAGAGAGAGATGCGCTCTGCATGGTGGGACATAAAAGAGAGCGAGTACTTGGGCGAGTAGGCCGTGCGGTCAACGCTGCCGCGCGCGACTTTGCGCGCGAGGCGGCGCAGCTTGAGAACGGCGGTGGGCGAGAAGCCGCCGCCGAACGTCTCGTGGAGCAGCAGGTTGAAGTTGTTGTTTGAGTGTGGTGCTACGAATCGTTCTGCTTGTTAACGGGCCTGCGATTTCTTTTTCCGCATGTGTATGCCAGGGCGTGCATCTGGCGTGTAGAGACACACGCACGCTCTTCGAGGTCTCTTGGAGCAGAGCCCCGGCGAGTCCTCAAAATAGCAACCCAATGGGTCCTCGAAGAGGGTACCCTGGGTGGGCGCGGCCTCTACTCGCCCGGGCGTGCATGCTCCACCGCCTCGGCACCCGCCCGGTGACACGCCTCCTGCTCCTCAGCAGCCTTCGCGGGAGCAGCGTACGCGGAAGCCTGCGCACCGCCATGGCGATGCCTTCACCGCCAGTACTCCGCGTCACGACAACCGAGGAAAGCAGCTCGGCCGCCGAGAGGCTGTGCGAGGCGCTCGGTTTCGCTACGCAGGTCACGCGCGAGGAGATCCACTCCTTTTACTGGTGGGAGGGCGCCGTGCAGAGCGAGCCCGAGGTGCGAGTCTCGTTTGAGACCTCGGAGCCGTTCGAGTCGGTCCTGCGGGCGGTGGAGGCAGCACACTCGTACGACGTGCCAATGATCCTCGCCGACACGTCGGACAAGGGCGCCGCGCACTGGAAAGGCGTCATTCGGCCGCTGGACGGAGGCGCGAAGGCGACATCATCCGCCTCGCCGACGGCCGCCAGACACACGCGCGTACGAGAATACATGCGGCGCGCTGGGTGATAGGCGGGCGCGGCCCTAGCCGAGCGCCTTGCCGCCTCGCGCCTCGTCGCGTGTGCTCAGGCGCGCCTCTCTCTGACCGCTCTCAGGCGGCTCACAGACACCTCACAGGCCTCACGGGCTCCTCTCCGGGCCATCCAGAGGGCACCCTCCCCGCACCGCGCAGGTGGCTCCGGACGGCTCAATCGCCGTCAAGACGGTCGCCTCCGCCAGGCTGGCCGTCGCGAGGGCTGCGGAGGAGGAGGGAGGAGGCGCGGTGGCGTGGTCTCCCGTCACGGGCAACGCGGCCTACCTCCGCTGGCTGGAGGAGGAGTGCGTCGCCGCGCCGCGCTTCGTCGTCGCTGCGGACGGGCACGCGGCGCCGTCCGCGCAGACCGCAAAGGACTTTCTCCTCTCGAGGCCAGGAGGCGCGTGCTTGTGGCGGCCTGTCTCGAGAGGCCACGTCCAGCGCCGTCCACGACACGTCCGCGACGTGTCCCGAAAGGCGCGTACACGACGGCGCGGACGAGCGGCGGCGGGAGGAGCGTTTTCGAGTGGGAGACACACGTGGAGCGCGGTTAGCCGAGATGCGGCCCGAGATGCAGCCGAGATGCGCCCGAGAAAAAGGCCGAGATGTTGATCAGCCTCCCGCTGCGGACAGGAGCGCACCGCGGCGTCGGTGGGCTCGATGATCGCTGCAGGCGGCGGCGGCGCGGCTGAGCTGCAGGCGGCGCTTGGCACGGCTGCAGGTGCCTGTCAGTAGGTTTGGGGCTCTGCACCCAGGAGCCACGCACTTGCGTCGAGCTGCCACATACCTGCCACCGCTGCGCTGTGCCCTCTGGCCGTCTGCTCGTCGCCCCAACGCCCCTTCCCCGCCATCGGAGCGCAGGCTTGCGGCCGCGACTCGACGCGGCGGTGGCGGCCGCGGTGCGAGAGTACATGCGAGAGTTCGGGCGGCGAGTGGGCGGTGCTGGCGAGCTCAAGCTGACTCTGGTGGTGAATTGGGGCGAGGCTGCAGAGGCGGCCAAGGAGGGTGCGGGTTGCGCGGAGGCGGCGCCGGACGGCTCGGTTTGCTGCCACGCCCCTGAACCTTCTCCGAACTTTCTCCGAACCGTCTCCGAACTTTCTCTGAACCTTCTCGTAGTTGCTCGGCTCGGTCGGCTGCCACGTCGCCCCGCTGCCGCCCCTGCCCGACCCGCCGATCCGGGCAGAGGTGCGAGGGGCGCCGCGCGCGAACGCGGCGGCGAAGGAGTCGCGTTGGGCCGCAGGAATAAGCGTTGTGGAGCGCGCCGCCATCACGGCGGTTGCGTCCGTGAGCAGGATTCGAGCTGGGTGGCGGACCGCGCTCCGCTCGAGGCGCTGATGCGGTCGGCGGAGGTCGGCCCGATCAACGAGCTGCTCCTCGCGACGGAGAGCGGCGGGCCGCTCGAGGGCTGGCAGACCTCTCGGCTGCGAGCGGGGTCGCTTCACGGCTCCAGCTGTGAACAGGCGAGCTGCTCGAGGGCTCGCAGACCAACTTTTACGCGATCGTCGACGGCGCGGTGCACACGGCGGGGGAGGGCATCCTCGAGGGCACGGTGCGGCGGCTGCTGCTCGAGGTGTGCGGGCGGGAGGGGACGCCCGTGGTGCTCTCTCCGCCTCGGCTCGCCGACGCAGGCCGGTGGGAGGGCGCCCTGATCTCGTCCACCTCGCGGCTGCTGCTGCCGGTCGACGAAGCTGTGCATGCCTGCCGAGCTGTGTGAGCAGCGCCGCTTCACGGCTGTTTGTGTGTCACAGGTCGACGAGTTGTACGTGCCGCCCGACGGCGAGCCGAGCGGCGAGGCCGACCGCGTCGCCGTGTTTGCAAACGGGCCCGGCTCGCTCGCCGCGCGGCTGCAGGCGCTCGTCGCCGCCGAGGTGGAGGCGCACAGCACCGAGATCGGGCTGCCGGCCGCGTTGGCGACGTGAGTCTGCAGTCTCGTGAGAGTGTGTTTTCGCTCTCCACACGACACCGCGCCACGACAACACGAGCAACAGCAAGTAGTTTCGCCCCCTGCCTGCGGTGCGCGCACGCGTATTCATGAGAGGGGAAGCGGCGTGCCGGTGGAGGCACGTCCGGGTTTTGGAAGTAAAGATATTTTACTTTTGAGTGACCCCTCTCTCCATCGCATATCGCAGGTTAATTGTCTTGTGGTATGTAACCAGGTTAATTTGTTTCGAATAAAGGTTAAAGCCTCTGATCTCATGCAACGCGCCGTCTGATCTCAAGAGCCGCCCATTTTCTGCCTTCGGCGCCGCAGTTCAGTCGGGATAGGGGCGCCAGGCAGCGCCAGCGCTAGCCGTCGTTCCCGGCGAGGAGCAGAGGAGAGCTCACGTCGCCACTGCTTGACTGCGTCGTACGAGGTCGCAGCCCGCGCGCCGAGGTCTTGAAGGGACGGAAGGACCGGAGGCTCCATTGGCACCGGCACGCCGAGGCCGCGCACAGAGCCACGGCCAGCACCCCACACGAGCCCGCCGCCCATGCCAATGCCGACGACGACCCCGACCCCGCCACCGGCGCCGGCGAGAATGCCGCCCGGGAAGGTGAGGCCGACGCCGACGCCGTAGAACGGCCCGAGCACGCAACCTATCCCGTAGAGCCAGCCGATCCCGCCTGCCAAAGCCCAGGCCTGCGGGTCCGACCGCTTGACGGCGCGCATTCACAATGGATAGCGCGGAGCGCGCAGCTGACGCGCTTCAAGAAAAGAATTTTGCGCAGCGAAGAATTTTAGTGGACGACCGGCCAGCGTCAGTCCCGAGATGCCGGCGCCGCAGATTGCGATGCTTGGCGTAGCGCCGGCACCGAAGGCTGTATGCGGTGGCTGGCGCCCTCAAGGAGCAGCCGCAAGCGCAACCGGCGCCGCCGCTCACGCATCAACGCGAGGAGCGCCGCGGTCAACGCGATCGCGGCGCGGCGCATATTGCTCTCAATGCCGAGCGGTCGGAGGATGTGGCGGTGGACAGCACGGACCGGCGGGCCAAGCGCTATTCGCGGTCGGAGGATGCACGCTCATGCACGACGAAGGCAAGTGTCTGCGTGCATCCGCACGCTGTTCGGCGGAGTCACGTCACCTTTGCTGGCACGACGCTCTTGCACTAGCTCTACGATGACTCTGACACACGCCTGCGCAAGGCCTCGGGCTAGTCTGAGGGAGGGTGTAGAGGATGTAGAGTGTAGAGCGCTGTAGAGCTGTAGAGCTGTAGAGCGCTCTGGAGCGCTGTAGAGCTGTAGAGCTCTACATCCGCCGCGCGGGACAGAGCGATGCAGATGTAGAGCGATGTAGAGGGTGAAATCTCTACAACAAACTCTACATCATAAGCGGCGAACGAGGCACGGTCGCTCTCCGACATGAGGCGCGTTGCACTTGCCAGTGCTGCCCTGGCCTTCTGTCTGCCCGCCCAATGGGTGGCAGTTGCCTCTGCTGCTGTGGCATGCCTCACGGCTGCGACTGGCCGGCGCCTCGGCGCGTCAGCTCGGCTCGGCGTACGGCGATCGTGGCCAGCGCAACTCGCCTGGACTCAACGCTCAGCCAGGAGCTCCCGCACGCGCTGGCGCGAGTCATGGCGCATGCAACGCGTCTGAATGCTCGCCTCGCCTCGCGCAAATGCGACCGTCCTCGCAGCCGACAGTCCACCGCCTGCTAAAGAAGCACTGCGACGAATGCGGCACCGGCGACGCATGGCAGGCTGGTCATGACGCAGTTATAGGGTGTTGTGTGCCGTCAGAGTGACTCTCTGTGTGTCAGGGATAGTCAGGGCCGTCCACCAGAGCTCCAGTAAGCTCGGAGACACCCCATTAGTGCGGCTCGACCTCTTTGAGTCACTGCCTCCCCGGCGGTTTTGCTGTAGAGCCTCTACAACAAACTCTACAGCAAAATCGCGCTCTACATCGCTCTACATCTGCATCGCTCTGTCCCGCGCCGAATGTAGAGCTCTACAGCTCTACAGCGCCCCAGAGCGCTCTACATCTCTACAGCTCTACAGCGCTCTACACTCTTCGGCACCGGGCACCGCCTCGGTATACAAAATGCGCCTGCGGGCGGACCCTTACAGATCACAGATCACAGATCACATCCTCTACACCCTCCCTCAGGGGCTAGTTCCATTTCGGTAACGTCACATCGTGCAGCCGAGATTTCAACCTTTTGGGACCCCCCCCCCCCGAAGCGTGGGTACCCACGATGCGCGGAATCTCGCGGACGCCGCCTAATGCCGCAACTAACTGTGGCAGCATCAGGTCTCAAGGCCAGTCGCTTCCGCGATGTAGCCCGCGACGGTAGTGTTGCCGTAAGGAAGGGAGGAAGAATTCAACGAAGAAAGGGGGAAAAGCATGCAATACCTCTCTCGAAAAAGAATTTAAACAAAAGAACTCCGAAAAAGAAGAAAAAAAAAACAAAATGGACTTCAGCTGGCTGGCCGGCTTGATGCCGTCGGCATCAAACGACGAGCAGCACAGTCCACAAACAGCATGCAAGTGAGAATACGCAGCGGCATGTCGCGGTGCAGCAGCAGTGAGTGCTCGTCGCTCGGAGCCTCCTCGCCGACCTCGGTGTGCTCGGTCGACGAGGAGGATCTGCCAACCTTCCTCCTCTCCAACCTGGCGGTCGCTCATCCAGAGACGCCGATCCGGCGGCCCCGAGTGATCCGCCCCCCGCCAGTGGAGCCGCGTCGACCTACGCTAACAACACGGATGACCTTCCAGCAGCGACTTCGCGAGTGCCCCACCCAGACGATCGTCACTGCCCTTGACGCCACAGGAGTCTCAACCGATGGCAGCATCTCCGAGCGACTTCGCCGGCTGACCTGGTGCTTTAAGCTCTACGAGCCACGAGACGTGATGGAGAGGTGGTCGGTGGAGACGCTCCGCGTGGTGGCAGGGATGGCAGAGGCGGACAAGGCATCGTGCATAAGCAGTTTGCTGGGGCAATTCTTCTCCTTTGACTGAGGGCAGGCCGGCCCCTCCTCGGCCAGAACTTGCTTTCTCGCAATGCTCGGGATTAAAGCAGCCCACGCCTATCCGTAAAGAGCCTACCGACGAGCGGCGCCATCCCGCCACCAGGGCGCTACGAACCACCGATCCTGCCCTACTGCCGAGGGATTGCGTGCAGGGCAGGCGGTGGCGCCTCTGGTGCGAACTACCACCGGCGAGTCGGGAGGGCCCGACAGTTAGTAAGTTAGGGGTCGGGGAGCGAGAGAGTAGGACCCTCCGGGCACATGGGGCCTGGGGAGGGAGGGCGCAGCCGACTGGGCTAGAGGCGCGAGGGGCGAGAGGCGGGCAGACGCTGCGGTAGCAGCTAGTGCACACTCTAGTTACCGTAGCTGGTAGTATGTGTGGAGAGAGGGCTCGCGCTTTAGGGCTCTCTCGTGGAGTGTGCCACGTGATACTGTCGAGTGTGCGGCCTGTCACCCACAGATACCAAGCTCTCAAGATCGCACAATCGAGGGCGGAGACATGCCCCGCCCCCGCCCCCCAAGCCCCCTTCCCCGCTGCCGATTGCGGAACCGGCAGGATTGGGCAAGAACGTACGCGCGGCGCAGCATCAAACAAAGCAGCGAGCGGCGCCTTTCTAAACGCGCCTCAGGCCTCCGCGGGCGGCGACAGCAGCCGGGGCGAGCGACGCGGGGGCGCGGTGAGCGGCTTGGCCGGTGACCGCACACGGCGCCGACAGATCGGGCACCGAACCGCCTCCTCCGCCTCCGCCGCCGCTCCTGCGATGCGGGCAAAGCAAGGCGCGCACATGGCGTGCCCGCACTCTGCTGGCGCGACGGGGGCGAGGCTGGCCGGGTCGAGGGCCTGGGGGGGAGGCGGGGCAGGTGAGGGGGGGAGTGACTGAGCCAGGAAGAGAGAGCGGTAGCGGCAGCGGTGGCGGTGAAAGGCGCGCTCCTCGAGGCAGACAGGGCAACTTGGCCTCTTGTCGGTGGAGAAGATCATCTCGAGCTGCGAGCGCAGGAAGCCGCGCGTGAAGGCGTAGTCGAGGACCGGCCGCAGGCGCAGGTCTCCCTCCCCCTTCAGCTTGTTGACCTTCTTCACAATCTTGCGCACTCCCGTCCGCGTCAGCTCTGCCCAAGCGTGCAGCGCCTGCGCCCGCTCGCTGAGGGCGGGGTCGTCCTCACCGCGGAGTGTCAGCACCGTGCGCACCGCCGTCTTCCACTGACGGTCAAGCCGCGCGAGCCAGCCCGATACAAAGGACCAAAACGCCAGATCGATATCCCCGCTTCTAGGCACGCTGCCGCCGCCCTCCGCAAGGAAGCCGGACGCGCCCATGCGCAGAATTTTAAGCTTCTTTTTGAATTGGCGGTAGGGAAGCGCCGGCACCGGCGCCCCGATCTCCTCGTAGAGGCCGTCTGAGGTCTTGCCGAACTTCATTTCAGGTCTTGCCGTCCGAGGTTTGCCGTCGACATCGATGGCGCGAATCCGCTGCAGAGCTGTGGCCCAATTCGAGGGCGGAAACGCGGCGTGAAATCAGGCCGTCGGAGATGGGAGATCCACCAGCTGGTATACCCGCTTTGCCGACAACGAGTGTTCGTCTGTCGACATCACCCAAGGTCTGGTCACGAACTCGGAATTCATCTCGGCGCTTGCGCATGCGGCACTTGAGGGCGTGCCGGCGACGGACGAGCCGCCCGGTCGGTCGGTCTCACCATCAGTAAGGAGTACGTACGCGCCGAAGAATGCGGTCCTCAAGGGGCCTGCCTCTACTACTCTGCCGACCCGATCGACGCGCTGACTATTACTTGGCGGGAGAACGCACAGACGGGTAGCGTGAGCGCGCACTCGCCCTCACCAAAGATGGGCGTTGCGCTCGCGACCGACTTTATCCGCCGCACCGAGAACGAGGACACGGGCATGCAAGACGCGTTCGACTACGCCGAGCACGCTAGAAAGATCCTCGACGTCTCCTCGTGGAAGGTTCTCATCGCCCACCGTAGGCGTCCGACTAGTGTGCTCCCACTGCCCAACTCACCGCAGCCCACCGTACGCGCAGACCGTTGGCGGCGGCGAGGGCTACAAGCTGATCGAGTATGCGGGGTGGCCGCTGCACTACGGCGCAGTCAGCCTTCAGATCCTGGAGGGCATCTACGAGAACATGCCCGGAGGGCGGACGGCCGTGACGAAGCTCACGCCCACCTTCCAGCACACCGATCACGTCCCCACCGGCACAAACATCTGCATCCACCCACACGGCGGCGCCTCCCCCGTGACCGAGGGGCCGAACGCCAAGTGTGCGCCCGCGGGCTCGTGCCTGCAGCTCAAGGTCTCGCCGGCGCCGTTCAAGATTGTGGAGCACGAGTGGACCACCACGAGCTACTACGCCTTCGTCGGCCTCATCGGCGGCTACATCGGCCTGATTGTCCTCATCCTCAAGTACCTCCACGCCCTGACGCTGGCCGTCGGAGAAGCGACGCGCTGCTACCTGTGTGCGCCCCTCGAAGAGGACGGCGAGCCACCCGCCCGCTCCATTGGCGATAAGGTCATCCTTGTGGCGGCACCATGAGGCATGAAGACGGAATGTGGGAAGGAACACGCACTCACTTTTGAACTTTTTAGGGCAGGAGATGAGAGATAGAGAGCGTGCAGCTCGCGCTGCTGTGTGCAGAGCCGAGCCTTGCCTTGAGTTGTACTCTGGGTGGGGGATCCGAGACGCGGGCGCGGGGGGGGTGACATGCTCGAGGGGGGGGGTTGAACCGGTTGTGTGCGGTGGAGTGTGCAGTTCCGAGTTCGTTGCATCTCTCAACTCTCATTCTCCGTCATTGTAAGCTGTAATAAAAGGGTATTGGTAATTGGTTCCATGCATACACACACGGGGTCCGCTTTAACCTTTCTGTAAAGTACTCCAATTGAGGACGTTTGTCGAGTTTCAAGATGCGTGCACGTGCACGTGCGCACGCGGCACGGGGCCCCGAGCCCAACCGCCAACCCGTGTCACGTGACTTCACGCTCCCACATCCCGACGGAGGACTCTGCGTCTGCGGCCATGTCTGACCAGTCCTCTGCCCGCGCAAGCGAGTACACCCGCAGATGGGCATGCCTCCTTCGGCGCAGGAGGCGGGAGGCCACCTGCACGACGAGGAGGGCCGCGGCGAAGACGAGGATTGTCGCGACCCCGAGCACCACCTTTCGCTGCACCTTCCTCTGAAGCGCCTGCCTCTCGCCCTGCTTCTGAAGGGCGCCTTTCTGCGCGGCCGCCTGCTGATCGATCGGCCGCCGCAGCAGGGGTGGAACCGCAGGGTCGCACCAGCGCGCATGTAGCCAGCAGAGGCGCGAGGGCGGCGGCGGGCTCGGCGGCGGCGGCGGGCTCGGCGGCGGCGGCGGGCTCGGCGGCGGCGGCGGGCTCGGCGGCGGAGGCGGGCTCGGCGGCGGAGGCGGGCTCGGCGGCGGCGGAGGCGGGCTGGGTGGCGGCGGCGGAGGTAGGCTCGGCGGCGGCGGCGGCGGCGGCGGCGGCGGCGGCGGAGACGGTGGCGGCAGCGGCGGACGCGGAGAATGCGAGCGCAGCGCCGAGAATAGGTCGTGCACGTGGTGGCGCGTCTGGCTGCTCTCGACGTTGAGTATGACGAGCAACAGGACGCCGAGCATTGCCGCTCCAAAGCACTTGGTGTAGCGTTCTTGCCGACCCTTCTCGGCCTGCGATCTGTACATATCGATCAGCTTGGTGGATACCATGTTGCGTCGCGACGCAGTGCCACGCCTTTCGGCGATGGGCGAAAGGCAGCTCACGCTGGGCTCACACAAGGGACACCCTTTGCCGAAGGACCAGCGCAAAACTCGATCGACCTTTCGCTCGGTCTGTCGTCGGCGTCTGGGAAGGGAAGAAATGGTGCGTCCAGTCCCTCCCCGAAGCCTAATCAGGCGGCCCCCCCGCGCCCATTCTGGCCTCGCTCGCGGATTTTCTTGTCGCGCGCATATTCTTGCCGCGTTCACGCAAAAACAGCCCTTCTCAGTAAACGCCTGGCGAGTAGAGGCCCCGCCCACCCAGGGTACCCCTCTCTCTCGAGGGCGCCGTCCACCGGGGCTCTGCTCCAAGAGACCTAAAGAAAGAAAGAAAACAGACAACCCAAGGGAGGGATGGGAGGACGGCACGCCGCCCACACACACAGGGATTTTAAGGAGAGGTGTGTGGTGCGCTATCCGTCGCCCACCCTAGGGAGTCTGCCTCTTCCTATCTCTCTTCGCAGTCTCGTTGCTCTACAGTACCCGGGTACGAATGGACGCCGTTTCTCGCCGCATTCACTCTGCGTCTTGCCGCAGTCGCTCTTGCCCACCGCCTCTCGCCTGCCGGTGTTTGCCGCGCGTAATGCATTCGCTCTCCACGCTCCTGCTCGCGGCCGTGCCCAGGACCAAGGAGATCGCGCCCGGAGTCCACATGCCGACAATGTCGCTCGGCACGTGCTGCGGCTCTGACCCGAGCGTCGGAGTCGCTCCCTGGCTTGCGTCTGGCGGCGTGGGCATAGACACTGCCAACGACTACCACGACCAGCCGGCCATCGCAACCGCGCTCAAAGCCACTGGCGCGGCGCGCGACAAGATCTTCCTGACGACCAAGGTTCCTGCCGGCGTGGCTGCGCTGCACGGTCCCGGCAAGCTCGACTGCTCGCTGGATCCGCAGCGGGCGGTGGACGTGCTCAAGGAGAACCTGGCGCAGCTCCGAATGACGCACGTCGACCTCGTGCTGCTGCACGGACCGTGCGAGCTGCAGGGCACGGCCGCCGCCGTCGACCCTGCCAAGGCCAACGCAGCTCAGTGGCAGGGCATGCAGATGGCCCTCTCGAGCGGGCTCACGAGGGCCATCGGCGTCTCCAACTACAACGTGACGCACCTTGAGGCGCTCCTCGCGGCGCCGACGACGCGCGTCAAGCCCGCCGTCAACCAGTGCCAGATGTCCATCAACGGCTCGGCCTTTTGCTCGCCCGAGACCGGCGTCTGCCTGCACGGGCCGGGCCACGACGACGCGACGATCGCCTTTTGCCGGACGCACAACATCACCTGTGCGCGCCGACGCCCAGCACCCGCTCGGCCACAGCCTTGCCATCGCCGCCCCGTGACACCCTCGCCCCGCATGTCGCGCAGACGAGGCTTACGACGTGATGAGCGGCTGCCCCTTCCACGACGCGCGCCTCGGCGCCATCGCGCGCGCGCACGGCATGAGCGCCGCCCAGGTGTGCTTCCGCTGGACGCTGCAGCGAGGAGCGATCCTCGCCACCGGCACAGGTCACAACGCGACCAAGGCCGCGCTGCACTCCAAGGACGATCTGGGCACGTACGACCCGAACTTTGAGCTGACGGGCGAGGAGATGGCGTACCTCGACGGCATCCGTCCTCAGCGGGAGGGTGTGAGGACGTGAGGCTGAGCGGGTGACGACAGAGAGTGTGGTGTGTTTCGGCGCGGGATCGAAGTCACATTGCATAAAACCATGTAATTTGTATGTATGTGTGGATTGTGTGGCCCCTGTCATATATCTCACACATATGCACGAGACGGGGACTTGCTCCTTTTTACCCATCTCCCATGAGTAGAGGTGTCCGTTTACATATATATGTATCATGCACGACACAACCCGCTACTCGCTACATCTCTATACGCCCATTCTCTTTTTTTCACATACAGGGCGCTCGAACAGACAAGAGCGACAGAGACGCAGAGAGATCTCTTATCTGGCAGCGTGGCACCGCGCGCGGCCAGCACGCGCATGTAAGACGTGTACCGAGACGACTTCTATAGCCCGATCCTCACGCCTTCCGCTGGTCGTCCATGTCGAGCGCGACCAGCAGCGCGCCCATCCGCTCGTCGGCCCTCCGCATCGCCTCCCCCACCTCGGCCGCCTCGCGGTAGCACACCTCTGCTCGCTCCGCCGGCCGCAGCTCGGGCCCGAGCTTGTCGAGGAAGACGTCTCGCGCGGGGAGGCCGCCGAGGCAGACCTTGAAGGTGCCCCGGAGCACCCAGTTGTGGTACCGCTCGAGGTGCGCCTTGTACGCCGCCGTCGCCACCGCGCTCAGTGTCGCGCCGCGGTCCGCCGCCAGCCCCTGCAGCAGGCCGCGCTGAAAGGCGAGCGAGCGGCGCAGCCAAGTGAGGGCGATGCCGGCGGAGGGGTCGCGCAGCACGCCGCCCGGCTTGTGGACCCCGCTCGCCCGCTCCGCCTCGAGCAGCCCTCGCAGCGTCGCCACCTGCGCCGCACCGCGCCGCTTGCCGAGCGCCTCCCACGCCTGTGTGCGGCCGAGGACAGGGCGCGCGGTGAGAGGGGAGGCGGTGAGAGAGGCGGCGGCGAGGGCGTGTGTGGGGGAGAAGGCGGTGTTGATGGGAGGCGCGCAGCGAGCGAGGCGACGCAGCGGGCGGCACGGGGGAGGGGGGCAGGAGTGCAGAGAGCGGCGGCGAGGGGAGGTTTGGCGGCGAGGGGAGGTTTGGCGGCCGCACCTTTGCGAGCTTGTCCAGGTTGGCGAGGTCATTCTTGACGGCGGGGGTCATCATCGAGCCGAAGACCTCCGTCACCGCAAGGTTGGTGCGGAAGGCGGCGACCAGCAACTCCACGTCCATCTCGCCCGACCCCGCGCCGTCCTCCTGGTCGCTGCCGCCTCCGGCCGCCATCGCCGCCTCAAACGCCCGAGTCGCCGCGTGCAGGATCGAATGCGGACCCGGCGGCGGCGGCGACGGCGACCGCCGGGGCGGCGGCTGAGACGACTGCGTCGGCGGCGGCGGCTGCTGCGGCGGCGGTGAGGACGCTTGTGGCAGCGGCTGCGGCTGCTGCTGCGGCGGCGGCAGAGGCTGCTCTGGCGGCTGCGGTCTAGGTGGCGGTGGCGGCGGCGGCGTGTGCGGCGAGAGCGGCGCGTCAATAATCTCGCCAAAGTCGGCATGCAGCTCGTTGCCCAGCTCGAGGGACGCGCGCTCTCTCTCGTCGGCCTCGTCTCTCTGCGTGCAGCGCTCGCTGTCCTCGTGTAGCAGGAGCAGCTCGACGACGCTGTCCGGCGTGGGCTGGCGGCGGTGGCCGAGGAGGGTCGGCGCGGAGAGGAGCGTCGGCGCGGGCGCCGCGCCGGGCTCCTTCATCGGCGACAGCGGCATGTCGACAGAGATTGAGGAGAGCGGCGTGTGCTGCGGAGCGCCGCCAATCGTCTTGCGCACCAGCCGCCCGAGCCACCCCCTGGCCCGGAGGACGGCCCAGAGGAGGAGGAGCAGTGCGAATAGGAGGGCGGTCCACAGATGTATCTCGCCCCTCACGCGGTGGTCGCACCGGCGCTCGCTCCAGCCAGGCCCGCAGCTCTTCTCACGCTGCACTGCGGCTGTCACAGAGAAGAGGAGGGTGCAGTACAACACCGACGCCAAGAAGGCACTGCGGAGCATCTCGTCGAGCCGCATGCGACTTGAACTTACGACAAGGAGCGGCTGCGCGTCTCTCTCATGAAACCAGGCTGCCGCAACGGCCTGACCTTTTTCTTTTTTGAGCTTTGCCTTCGATGTTGAAACAACGCAAGGCGGACATATGGCATATCGCTCTCGGGCCCACAGACATCCCGCACACCCGCCGCCCCCCGCGCGCGCCCCACCCCGGCCGGGAGAAAGGGGAGTGACAGTTTGGGGCGGAAAGTCGAGACAAAACAAATTCGAGTATCTCGCACTCCATGTGCAAGAACGCAGCGAGAAATGAAAGCCGTCCGGCTCACAAGTCCGGCTCACGCGCCCCGGCTGACCGATCTACCGCACTGGCCACTTCCGCCCCCTCGCTCCCAACCAATCCACCTACCTCGCCTCGGGCGGTCGGGCCGCGCCGCGCAATCTAGACGATCTCGCGCAATCTCGGGCGATCTCGGGGCCGCGCCGCGCCATCTCGGGCGATCTCGGAGCGTCGCTCGCGCGGCGGCACACCTGCTCAAAAAAGGAAGGGCCCGGTTGGAGCCACGGGGCTCACGTGCTCGCTCGGTACGCCGCCTCAGCCCTCACTCTGCGCCACTTTGAGGCGTTGGCGAGGGCCGGTGAGGCGGCGCCCCGCGCGGCGCGTTCATCGCCCTCCACGCCGACCCCTGCGCGCACCGCTCATCTTGGCCCGCTCCTGGGGTTACTCTCGCGCTCGCGCAGGACCCGGGGGACTCCCTATCTCCCTGTTCCCCCCCCACCTCCGCGACGGGTTAGGTCGTCGGTGCTGACGCCCCTTGGCGCCTGTGCATATCGCGTGCCCGCCCCCCAAGGCTGGTGCCAAGCCCCAAGGCCAGCTCAACTGCCAAGGCTGGTGCCAGGGCCAAATCAACTGCCTGGCTGGTGCCAAGGCTCAAAGGCTCCCCTCTCCATCTCTCCTGTCCTCCCGCCTCTCCACTCTCTCAACTCTCTCCCTCTCTCTCTCTCCCCTGAGACTCTCTCTGCTCGCTCCGCCCTCTCTCTCCCTCCCTCTCTCCCTCCCTCTTGCGCCCCCCCCACCCTGTTGTCTCTTTTCTTTTTTGTAATTTTGGTTGTGATTCCGATTCTAACGTCCCCTGCTGCCTCGCGCGCGGGCCTCACGCCGCCGATTCTAACGTCCGCTGCTGCCTCGCGCCCTCACGCCGGCACCCACGCCGCGTCGCGCCGCTCCTTGAACGCGGCGATGCCCTCCTTCGCCTCGTCCGAGTGGAAGAGCTGCTGCGAGAGGGGCGCCGCCCAGTCGAACGCCTCCTCGCGGCTCATCTGCGGCACCCGCGCCACCAGCTGCTTCGAGGCGGCGAGCGCCTTCGGCCCGCCGCGCACGAGCTTGCCCACGAGCTCGTCCACCTACAAGAGGGGCGGCGCGGACGCGTTCCAGACACGAGGGCCGCCACCGCCGTGCCCGCGGCGGCAGCCTGCGCGCCTTTGCGTCCAGCTCCGCCGGCGGAACCGCGTAGTTGACCAGACCTACCGCCGCCGCCCGCGCGGCGCTGATCCGCTCGCCGCTGAGGAAAAGCTCGCTCGCGTCCGCGCGCCGCAGCTTGGGCAGGCACACCACGGAGATGACCGCCGGGCAGACGCCCAGCCGGACCTGCAGCGGAGGCGGAGGTGGAGGCGGTGGAGGAGGTGGAGGCGGAGGCGGAGGTGGAGGCGGAGGTGGCGACGGCGAAGGGTGGCGGTGGTGGGCGCTAGGCGGAGGCGTCCGGGATGGCGGGCGCGGGTGGGGCCCGGCGGCGGCGGCGTGGCAGGCGGAGGGGGAGTGGCTCGCCTCTGTGAAGCCAATCTTTGCGTCGTCAGCGACGACCGACACGTCCAGCGCGGCCGCGAGGCCAACGCCGCCGCCCATGCAGTGCCCCGCCACGCGGCCGACCACCGGCTTCGGGCACTCGACGATCGCATCCAGCACAGACACCAACGAGTGGCGCGGCGCGGCGGTTGAGCGGCCGCTCAGGTCCGCGCCGGCGCAAAAGGTGTTGCCCTCGTTGGAGAGCACGACGACGCGGACGTCGTCGTCGGTGGCAGCCGCCGCGAGGTGGTCGCCCAGCGCGTTCACCAGCTCCACGCTCAGCGCGTTTTTCCTCTCCGGCATCGCGAGCGTGATCCGTGCGACGCCGCCAGCCACCTCGTATGCCACAAAATCGCTGGCGGGCGCCTCGTCCGCCGCCGGCGGCGGAGGCGCCGCGACGCGCCCGAGGGGGACGTCCACCATCGCCCGAGCAAGCTGCGGCCGGAGAGGCCGCAGACGACGCGCAGCAGACAGGAGCAGGGCCGTCATCGTGAAGCTGCCGCCAAGACAGATGGCCGGACCGGATCGTGGCACTGAGCGCGCGCTTTGAAGAAGAAAACGACCGCGGATTTCGTCGAGTGAAGAACCACAAAACTAAGATAGAGAGACTTTTGTTGCAAACCTAAAGAAGAAAGGCCGCGCCCACGGTAAGGATCGTCGAAGCACAGTCAGTCAGTCTTACACACCTCCAAGCATGGAAGACGGGCCCACACGCACACACACGCTGCACACGATTGGCTCGGGAGCCGACACGAGGCACGCTGTCACCGGCCGTAGCACTGGGTCCGGACTGCTGGACGCACAACACACAGCTCACAGGACAGCTCACGAGGTGGCGCTGTATAGTGGGGTTCTCAGGGACCGACACGGGAGAAGAAGGTGGAGCACAGGGACGGGGACACAGAACTCACGAACTGATATCCCACCCCGCGCCGGGGGCGGTGGCGCGCGCGAGCGCCGGGGTATTTGGACCCGCAGTCTGGCAGGCGCCAGGCCACAGATCCGCCGGCAGAGCCTTCAAGCCGCATCCGCGATCCGCGCCGGCTCTCAGAAGAGATCCGGCGCGGTGCTGACCGCGTCCTCGCAGCGGACCACCGAGTTCACGATGATGTCCGAGGAGAAGCGGTGCAGCTGCGGCACGATGCGGTAGTCGCACAATGCCGCATTGCGGTTTGCGGCACTCCTGCTGCAACGCGCGCGCGGCGGTGAGGAGAGCGCGAGCCCTTGAGCTGCTGGAGTCAGTCCATCGCCCGCGCATGCGCGCTGGCCTTGAGGTGGTTCCACCAACAACTGGCCCAGGGGTTGAGAGAGAGATTTTTAGAAGCTACTTCTAGGGGTTGTGACCCTGCGCAAAGCGCAGGAATTTGCCGAGCGCGCCCTTGGTCCTAGGGCCCCGCTCGGGGAGTTGAAGGCGGCCGCCGTGGTGCGCGTCGAAGCACAACTTTTTTATTTTCGCTGCTGTCTGTCAAATGAGCGAAACCACCCAGCGATATCTCGGCTAATCTGCCGGTCATATGTACATGCACATGCATCTCGGCAGACCTCGGAAAAGGATCATCGATAGTGAGGCGCCGACGACAGACAGGTGAGCCGCCCTCGCCGATTTCCTCAGAGGAGCCGTCCAGAAAATGCTCACACTCCAGGACGGGCAAGGCAGCAACACGCTCACCGCCGACGTGCCCTGCGCCTCGCCCTCCACGGAGACTGCGCTCTCCGACGACAACGACGCGCCCGAGAACCCCTACAAGCGACGGAAGGTCGAGTGGGCCAACAACGAGGACCTCTTCATACTTTCGGCTGTGAGGACGCTCGGTACGCAGTGGCCCAAGATCGCCAGCCAGCTCCACAACCGCACGCCCGACGCCGTCCGCAACCGGTGGCACCGGCTGCAAAAGGCACACGCCTTTGACGCTCCCGACAGCTGCCAGCAGCGGACTGACGCGGCCGATGCGTTGCTGTGCGCGGCGGGCGCGCCGGCACCCGGCGGCAAGATCAAGGGCGACTGCATTAGAGGCTCCGACCACGGGAGGACCATGTGGAGCTCGAGGGAGGACGAGATCATCGAGTCGGGCGTCAAGCAGTTCGGGTGCAAGTGGCGGCAGATCGCAAAGCTGCTTGAAGGACGCTCCGACTCGAGTATCCGCAATCGCTGGATGCGGATTTTGAAGGAGCGTGAGGCGGCGGCCTTCAAGCCTCCCGCCCAACCGCACCGGGAGCCCCCCGCGCCCCTCTTCAAGATCGCCGCGAGCGTGCCCAACGGGCAGCTGGTCCAGCTGCCCGTCGGACAGCCGCCAGTCGGGGTGCCAGTCGTACAGGTGCCAGTCGGACAGGCGCCAATCGGACAGGCGCCAGTCGGACAGGCGACGAACGTGCACCCCGGCGGCTGGATCCCGATGCCTCCCCAGCAGAGCTTCGTCGGCAACCCCTCGGCGGTCTACCTGCCGAACGCCGTCACGATGGCGGGGCCGATGTGGTTCCGTCCGCCGCCGGCCAAGACTCCGCCGCCGGCTAAGCTGATGCGGCAGTCCTCTGCGAGCGACGCCAACGTGCTTGCTGGCGTGAGGGCGGCGCCCGAGGCGGAGAGCTGCTAGCCAACCGCCGCTCTGCCCCACGACAGTTGTTTACTTTGCGGCGCCCGCGCCTCACGCGCCCTGAGAAGCGAAGAGCCTCTCGCCGCGTCCTTGTACTGTCCCCGCCGCATGCGTGCTGGCCTGTGGCTCTAGGTAGAGATGCATGTGTGCTCCCGCATACGCTGTTCACCTCCTGTCGGTTGCTCGCCGGTTCGCGCACTCAGTATGTACTCGCGGTCTCTGCGGGGTTGTGCGCGCTCACCGGCGGCAGCGTGTGTTCATAGTCGTCCCGTGTGGTACAGTATTCGCGCGCCCGGCAGCTCCTGAGGCTGCTCGGGTGGCGCCTTGTTCACTCCGAACACCGAACACGTATGTTCTATTCCTCAAAATACAAAAACCCTTTTACTCCTTAGCCTCGAAAACCCCGAGAGGGTTTTTATGCTTCATTCGCTGTTCATCGGCGTGCCGCCGCCTCTCGGTCCTGCGCTGTGCGCCACTGCGAGTAATTCGCCCGCCTAGCGCCATCGGTGCCAGTGCGCGCCAGTCCCGTGCCACAAATAAATAATAAATAAAACGGACACCCCAACCTAAGGGCTTTTTACCCACCTCACAGTAGAGTGGTGTCCGTTTTTATTTATTTATTTAAGGGCTGGGCGTCCCCGCGCAAGTCCAAGTGAAAGACAGGGAGAGATGGGTGACGCACAAACCCGAGGGACAGCGCGCACCCCGCCCCGCTCGCGCAAGTCGTGTTAGTGCCAAACTCGTTGGAGCACTTGCCAAAGAAAGAAAGAAAGAAACGGACAGCCCAAGAGAGGGATGGGAGGAATGTAGTGCCAGTCCGGCCAGTCCTATTTTTTGCGGGTGGAGCATTTGAGAGAGAGATTTTTAGAAGCCAACAAGAAATCTGGCACGGAGGTGATTTATTTGTTTGTGTTAGTGCCAAAGAAAGAAAGAAAGAAAGGCGAGACTCAAACGAGGGATGGGAGGAGGACAAGGTCCCAGGGACGGAAGGGAACGGGAGCGGGACCCGCGGGTTTATTCTTTTGCTCTCGCCCATTCTGGCTCGCCCTCAAGAGCTGCACGCACATTTCACTCACGGGCCGCACTCGCTTCTCGCACTGAGGCGAGCAGCATATCCATGCATCGCTCACTGCGTCGCGCGCCTCGCGGCCACGCCTCGCTACGCAGCCCACCATAATAATACTCACGACACTGATCAGTCTGCGGCGACATTGCGCTCGCAGGCGCTTTCGGCAATATGATCCAGATGAAGATCCAGGTGCCGCTCCACCACCCCGGAGGACCTGTCGAGGCAGCGTTGCCGTGGGGCCAGGTTCACACCGTCGTGCTGCCGCCGGGCGCAAGGCCTGGGCAGTTTGTCTACTTTCCTTGCCAGCTTCCCCCGCTTCCCGCCCTCCTGCAGCCTTCCCACCCGGTAGGAATGCCGCCTCCGTTGATGCTGCCGGCTCCACAGCTACCGCCTCCGCCGCAACAGCAGCCTTTCCGGCCGACCTCTCCGCCCACTCCGCCGATGTCCCCCCTCCGGCGAGTGCCGCCGTCCGAGTACAACGTCGACGACGAGTCCGCTTTGGCCCTCCTGCAGCAGTTCTCGTCTGCGCCGGGCGGGCTCCAGGCATGGACGCCGGAGTCCGGACTCGAGGTCGACCTCGACATGCGCTCTGAAGCGGCGCTCCGCGCTCTCTCTGTCGCGGACCTCAAGACTCGATGCCGCGCCCTCGGTACGCCCGTCACCGGCAACAAGGCGCAGCTGATCGAGCGCATTCAAGACCCCGCTGTACACCAAAAATTCCGCCCTGCCAAGAAGGCTGAGGCCAACCCCCGCTACGCGGGCTACGGCCAGATCGGCGACGACACCGCGGGCCTCGATCTCCCCGAGTTCTGCCAGGGCTGCGACAGGGCCTTTAGCCCATCGCTTCGCTTTCTGGACTACTTCGCAGACAGCGAGGGCGGCGACGCGCTGTGTCTCAAGTGCCACGCGGATCTGCCGCCGGGAGGAGCCGTCGCGGGCTCCTGCTCCATGCGAGTCGGCGACGTCGCGTGATCTCGCGACGGGCCGCTTGTCACCGGGGCGCGGGGGCACTGCCGGCGGACTCGCCACTTTTTGAGAGGAACGCCGCGGTCGACAAAGGGCGAAGTCCAAAGAGGTGAGAGCGGGCCGGGTTCGTGGAGACCACGCCCTACCTCCCTGTGCGGCGGCGCAGCGCATGGTGCGGCGGGTGGCGGCGGCACGGCACGAGACATCGCAACTCTCTTATTCGAAACCGAACGGCACACACGGTGGGGTCTGCTCTGTCTATCTCAGAAAAAAATGCTTTAAGGCAAAATACTCGGCACACTGCGACCCCCCCCCCCCCCCCTCCTCTTCGGACTAGACACGTGCACTACAAGTCTGGGGTTGGGTTGGTGGGCTCTGTCGGCTCGGGGCATGGTCGGCTGGTTGTGAGCGGCCGCACACTGCTCGGTACCCGCCCTGCACATTTAAAGTCATGCCCGACCCCCCCCCCCCCCAGCAACAAAACTCTTGTGGGGGGGGGGGGGGCGGGACCCCCCCTTAATTGCGGGGGGGGGGTGCGGGGGGGGGCGGGGCCCCCCCCACAGGGGGAAAACTCCGGGGGGGGGGGGGGCCCCCCACTGTCACCCCTGTCTGGTTTTACAAACCCCTGGACGCAATTTTTTTCCCCCGCTTGGCCCGCCCAACCCCCCCCAACGAGCTGCTTATAAAAAGGCTTGAGGGCCACACGCACGGTTCCCATCACCCCCGTGCCTCCCATTTCCGTCAACCCTCGCGGGCTTACCTCACAATTTTGCCGGCCCACCGGGCTGCCCCCTCACCTGCGCGTTTTT